GAGCGAAAGGCGCCCCAGCAAGCAGGGCGTGGGGTTTGGAACAGAGCTTCGTTTGCTGCTCACTGAGACTGGATGCTTTTCCCCTGGGAGTGCAGAGAGGCTTTCTTTTTGGAGGGAGAAGTCAATTCTGGGGGAGTTCTATGTCAGCAAGACATAGAGGCCCATAAACCATTATTTCTGATAGGTGAGCAAAATGATTAACTGAACGTGTCTCTAGATTTCATACCGTCAAACTGGACAGGAAAGGTCTGTGTGTCTTTCAGAGCTGTATTTTTTTTCCCAGCTGTTTGGAGACTTGGGAGACAGTACTGCATTGTTTACCCCCTGTTTGTTTCTGGAAGGTCATTATGAAACGAGTTGGAAATAAGCGCATTGAAAAGCGCATGTTTGATTCTGGGACAGAAACCTGAAGCGAGGTTTGAATTCCACAATAGATGCTGGTACCGCTGATACCATAAAGTAAGTGGGATCTGGAGTGTAAAATGAGAGAGGGTGGTTGCTTCTCAGTCACCTATGTTTCGTTCTTGGGCTGTAATTAATTACAATAACTTTCTGAAATCCTGGTTTTTGTAATGGCTTTATCAAAATTCCTACGAAGTCCCAGTACAGAGCACCTTTTCTTATGAATTTAACCTTTGTCTTTTCTCTGTGTGTTTCATGCAAGTAGGAAGCTCTGGTGCTTTCCAGTTTTCATCCCTCTAGTGATTTTGCAAAGTGTAATCATTGTAAAGTGCAATTGCTTAATATGTAGCTCATTCACTAAAACCCCAAGGATAGAGGCAGTGAGTAATGTGAGTCATTACCAGAGCAATGATATCTAAGAAGATGAAGAGTCACGCATCAAGTACCAATCCATTTAGTCTTAAGAATGTAAAAAATCACTAGTCAGATGTGATTGATATTATCTCCAAGCAAATTAAGTAGTTACCCTGAAATGCTGTGCTGCTACTAATGTGTTTCGGTATTAGAAGTGCTGATCAGTTACTTGTTCCCTACTGCTCTGTTTGTCTATCAAGACACTTGTAGACCAGCAGCTTTCCCAGGTGCCATCTGCATCTCTCTTTCCTTTCCAGGCACTGCATACTTTAATGCCTGAAATTCAGGAACTTTGTCCAGAAAATATGAAGAAGTGTTCTGGCTTGATCAGCAATGTTAGGGTTCAAACTCGTGCTTTTCAGTCACGCTTAATTTTATTCAGCCATCCAGGTTTCAACCATTTTTTGCTTTTCTTTGTACTAAATCATATGAGTTGGAATAGGTTTCTTTTCCATCTCATTCCAGCGAGGAACTTTCTGGCCCAAGGATATAGAATTTAACATTTCCATCATCGTTCTGAGAGGGTAGTTTGCAGCTTAATAGGTGATAAGAGCTATCAACTTATTTTTACGTGCTTTGAGATGCACCGGAGCCTAAACCAGCTCAGTGCTACAGCATGACGTTGTATGTAGCGGTCTGAAGGGACACTGAAGTTTAACACAGGTGAAGTGATTTATGCACGCTGATAAATCAGGAGTTGTTTTGCTTCCAAGGTTTCAGGTGGGAACAAAAATGACAGGCTTCCTGAATTACAATGAAAAAGAAAACCCAAACAACAAGGCAAGGCATGTGCTGGATATATCTCTCTCCCTTGAAGTCAACAGGACTTGGGCATCATTGCAGTAGTTGGGGATCTACTATTAGAGGTATGATAACGTCAGTGATATTATTAGGAACATGAGATAATAAATGACTACACCAGTCTATGACATTGCTTGTGGACCACATTTATAAGGCATTGTACTATAGAGTCACCTTTAATTTGTGCATCAAAACCAGACCACGGCCCTCTACGGTGACTTGACTGGTCTTAAAATAGGGATTATAACCCACGAGCTGCGCTACTGTGTGTTCCCTAGCTAAAAATATCCCAGGAAATGTAGCAGCAGACAACAGATAATCTTTAGATTATATTTACTGTAAATTAAGTATGCATAAACCATTTCTGCATACTAATTTTTTATCTTCATATCAACTTCTCAAGTCTTTCGGATGCAACTTTTTTATTCTGCACTTTCTGTAACTATTGACAAGCCCCTGAAATACTGGCAGTGCTGTTAGGGCTTTTGCACGGTGTGTTGCTTTGCATTGTACTTGTGATTGCCCACCATGCCTAGAATCAGTAGAACACATAGCATGTGCCTCAGAGTCTCTTTAAAACAATACTTTATTGTTTTGTACTGTATTGCATAGGAACAGATAAGATGTTTAAGTTGGTAGCCTTTGAGCTTTTGGGATACTGCCACTTTGTTTAGGGACCCCAGAACATTGTTTTATTATTAAATTCATTACAGGACTACATTTTTCTAAGTGACCCAGTCCACTTCATAGGAAGTCAAATGACTTGAAAAGAAGAGGCTATAGATCAAACCTGCCAATGTCATATGTCAAAGCAGGTGATGCAGTAAGGAGACAAAACTGTTGTATTAGATCAGAGGTTTACAGGTCACTGGTCTAGAAAAAGTATACCTTTCACAGCAGAAATGATCTGTAAGATATTCCATTTGTATACCTGATTTTGTTGAGACTTGGGTGTCACACTTTAACATAGGCATACAAAATCCTTGGGGGCATTACATTGTATGAAAAACTATGGGTTTTTTCCTTTTTTCCCCAGTTCAGTTGAGCTGGGAATCATCAACAAGAGCTGTGAGAAGCAAAACTTGAGGTTTAAGTCTACTACATTCCTGGAAGACAGCTGCACACAGTAGACTCTTTTGGAGAGTGTGAAAAACAAACAAGCTGTGCTTTTAAAGGCAGGCTTTAGGAAGCCCCCCAGAACTGCCCAGTTATTATGAAGCTAGTTTGCAGGTGTGGTGCTGGGCTACAGGACATTTAGAGCTTGTGTCATGTGCTTACAGCTCTTCAGACTGGAACAGATTTACTTCCATGACTGGCTGCATCCATGCACTCATAGCCCTGGCCAAGTAAATGTGAAATCTATGAAACATATCCCCTCAAAGACGAAAACCAGTGCCGTATCCAGCAGGTGCTTCTGTGTTCCCAACCAGGAGAACAATCTCCATAAGACTGGAGAACTGTAGGAAGAGGTCTGCAGAAGGTAGACACTAAGGCAATATGTGGAGATTTTTTTCACAGTATCTTTCACATTGCTTTCAGGCCAATGCACATTTTCCACTATTAAAACTAATAAATTAGGAAAAAAATGATGTACATAGCTAGAAGATTTGTTGTCCATCAGTGATTGCAGTGGTTATTAACTGTCAACCCACTGTTCTTTCAGTCAGCACCAAGAATAAGATGTAGAGTCCTTTGCTTCTGTAAGTTTGTACATATATGAGGTGGGATTTTGTTTGTTTGTTTGGTTGGTTTTTTTTGTGGAAAGAAGTAGTTGGCTGGTCCAACACAGAGATTTGTCTTGTGAAAATTACTTTTGTTAATTGTTGTATGTTGAAATGTTGAGATTTTTTTTCTTAATTGAGCAATATTTTGTGATTATTTACCACTAGTAGTATGCTGCATGTAAAAAGAAAAAAAAAAAAAAAGCAAAAACCAAAACAACCAAACAAAACACACACAGTAAGAAAGCCACAAAAGAATTAAGCCCTTCCCTTTCAAACCCTTCTTTCCTGGCACTAGCATCTTTGCTCAGCATTTCACTCCCGAAGACTCTCTGTGTCGTGATGCTAATTGATAGGGAAGGATGTCTCTTCCTCAGTGTCTAACTGGTACCCTTCCCTGTTGATGGTGGACAGCTGATAAGGGACAACTGCCCATCGCTCTGAAATGGCACAGTGTTGTCCTGATTGAAGTGACTAGTTGTGCCAGAATCAATTTGAAGAGTCTTAAACTGATTTGTATCTTTTCTAACTGGAAAAGTTATGCATTGATAAGCTGAAGGGAGGCTTTCATGATATTTAATAGATACAAATCTCCGATAGAGTTTTCTTTGGTTTAAGAGTGATTTTTTTATGTTTCATTTCAATTGGTCTCTAGCAGGTTTGCTAATCCTGTGTACGTCTAGATGGGTTTAACACTGCATTTACTGTTTTAATAATGGATAGAAATCAAAGTGCTGCAACTGCACCAAACCAGGCTGTTTGACTGCAGTGAGGCAAACCCTCCTGCATGAATATTTCATGTTAGAATCATGTTTCTAACAATTTGGGTTGGATAATTCCTTGCCAATATAAGCTTTCTCAATATAAACCAGTCAGCGAGAATCTTTCCATCAATAAGATTGTTTATTATCATCTTGCATAAATAGGAACAGTTTTGTGCATGAATTGGCTGGTTTGCCACGGTTGCCTGCTTGCCATGGTTCAGCTTGGCTTAGTTACTCAGGCAGGTGCAAGCTGAATAAATACAACCAACGTTCGATTCCTACAAAACAGTTCACATATAAAATGCACTGGGAAAACTAGTTTTAATTTCAAGCCAGACCAAACAGTCCTTAAGTTTCTATAATAGATTTTTCACTGGTATCAGTTAATAGACTTTAAAATACCGCAGGTTAGTGATTGAAAAGGACTCGGTAGAATCAATGAGTTACATCCGCTTACTGATGTAACCTGGCCTATGGCTTAGTAACAGACCTGGTAACATTGATCCTCCAGAAAATAGCTTTATTCGTCCACTTTCTGTTTCAAAGTCAAAGGTTATGTACTGGGTTGTCTTAAGAAAATGTGCTATAAACTGGTCCTTCAGCATCTCATTGCTGCCAGCGGCGCACAAACACCAAGCATGACAGGGCTCGGGGAGAAGGTTTTCTCTGCACTGTGGGACGTAGGTGGGGGCTTGCAGGGACTTGCCTGCTCCACACCTTGACTGGCGGCTCTGACCTGCCGGGGAGGACGAAGCCCCAGCATGTGCCCTGCTTAGATCTGGCATTTTTTGGCTGAAGGTACGTTCCCTTTCTTTTTTGTTTCTTAGGAAGCGATTGACATGTTTTGTCAGTGCACCTCACTGCTCCCAGGTGCTGCCGCTTGCTGGCTTGCCCCGCTTCAGGCCACCAAATACTTGGGTTCGTCAGGCCGGAGTTTCATGAGTTTGTCCATGCAGAGCAGGATGAGCGTCAGAAACCAGAGGCTCCAGCCGACGGCTGCTGCAATCCATCCATAATCGTCCATGCCCGTCGGGCAGCACGTGGCTGCTTGCATGCAGAAGTTCGCGTCTGGTGGTGAAGAAATGAAGTGAGCTGATGGGAGGCTAAGTACGTAAAAGTTTTCCTTTGCTAGAAGGCAGATGAGACAGTGACTTCACTGTCTGCTCTGTGGCCTGTCAGTCTGCCTTGGCATCTTTCCCCTATGCCTGGCTCTTAACCTGGGGGATGGCAATATTCATTTTCACCTGTATGTCTTCAAGACTTGGTCATCCCTGTCTGGCCAAACACCTGAGCTGCTCCTCTTACCACTGTGCCCACCATTACGGAAATATTTTAAAACTCTTACTTAGCATCTCCTTAGTCATTTTTAGGAATGGAGTATGATAGAAGTAGCTAGTGAAAATTAAAAACAAACCCAGGGCAGAGAAACCTTCATGTGAGAGAGTAAGAGGATCTCTAGCAGAGACACCTTCACCTCTGCCAGCAGTAGAAGCAGTGGCTGCTCTCTGCTGGCCTGTTAACTGTGACTTGCGCGTAACAACTGCAAAACACACCACCATTGGGGGATCCCTGTTTTACGTGTTTAAAAATGAAATAATTTTTAACAATTCCATGTATTTTTTTCTTGCACCTTTTGCATCTTTTTTTTTTTGTTTGTTTCAATCAGTCTGATTCTCTAAAGTCAATTAAGGAACATGTCATTAGTTGCTTCATTTATGCTGTTATTTAAAGGCATCTGCCATACTTTTTCCACCAAGGACACAGTGAAGGCACCCAGCTCTGTGTCTGCATCCTGGGTGGTAACATGGAAATATCAAAGGGAGCCTGGAGGACCATGGTATCTCACCCCCTTGAGCCAGAATAGAAGCTGAGCGTGAAAACCCAGCGCCCAGGAGACCTGCAGCAGCCAAAACTACCTTGCAGCTACATGCATTGCGTGTTGATGTGCACGAAGCTTGTCAGCTGTGAAAAGTGAATGCATCCCGAGCTTGGTGCAGGGCAGCCAGCCTCTTGCACCATTCCAGGGAAAAGGCAAGTGCAGGTACTGCTCAGTTGCTCTCATTCACGTGTGTCGGGCAGGACCATGTTCCTGTGCATTGGCCTTCAGTGCCCGCAGAACTGCACAGTAGAGAGCAGCTCTTCTCGCAACAGGAGAGACGTGTTTTGTAGGAGCCTAGAGAAGGGGGAGGGATGCCTGCCCCCGTACCCAAATCACGCTTTGAAGTAGCGTACCTCTATTGGTACACGTACTATATTTTGGGAAGTGTAGGACTGTGGAGGTGTTGGACGTTTGGGATGGAGGATGACTCTTGGAGGACTGGTGGGATCTCAGGTTGCCTGGGACTGGCTGTTTGGGGAAGAGCTGGTGGGGTGGGGGAAAGAGGTGCTCCCGGGAGTCCACATTGTGTGTACAGGCACTCAGTCTGGCAGGGGGCTTTAGGACACACGAATTAGCTATGAATTAGTCTGTTCAAAGCTATGAGTCCATCTGAATGTACCTAAGGTATACTGGGCATGCCAATGGAGGAGTCTTAGAAATGCATCCTAGAGTTTCTCCTGCAATGGAAGCCTTGACAACAGATAAATCCTTTTCCAGGACAGCCTCTCAGTCACATGTGTAGTCTCATCACCTGGCTTTATCATGGTAGTAACGACTTATGAAGACTTACTAAGACATGGTGCTTCGTACTCAGTTGTGAGCATGGAGCTTGTTGAAACATTGGAGACATCTTCAGCTGCTGCCAGAAGGAAAGCACAGGAGAAAAGGCAAGTTACATTAGAAAAACAATACTGGGCATCAAGCACAAAAATCTGAAAGCCATTGGCCTTCCAGAGGTTTGTAGGATGGAAACAACTTGGAGAAAATAAGTTCCTGCTCCTAAACGCTGCTGCATCAGGGTATGCTTTCACACCCCACCACTGTCAACACAGGCTTAGAGAGACCTGCTGTAGCAGCAGCCATAAGGAGCAGTTGGATCACTGCGCCTCTACCTGAGTCTGAGTATGACCCTGGTGTGAACCATTCACTCAGAGCTCAAATTAGCCACCATCCTTTCCTGAGCTACAGGGGCAGAATAAGCAAGGACTGAAGTAAGAGAAAGCATTCGGTGGCACGGGGAGATCCATGGCCAGCGAGCTGTACATCTACCTCCTTTTGCCCTTAGAAAAATCCTGGTGACTCTGGGGTACGAAGAAGTCTGGCTGAGCCCATCCGTGCAGAGCCTCAGCAGATCCACCATAGCCTCAGCGGGAAGCTTTGGCTTTGCTGCAGTTCAGGCGCAGCTGTGTCTGAAACTGTTCTGGCTGGGCTCCAGTTCAGGCCAGTACGAGCTCATTAACCAGCTCAGGTTGGAAAATACAACATACAGAAATAAGTAAGGGAGGAAGGGGCCAGGGGTTTCAATGAAGAAGGTTTTCACTCCTTATCCTGCTTCCTACCCAGGACTGAAGCACACTTGCGCTCTGGCACAGTGCTGCGGCTGGTCTCCAGCCCTCCAAATCTGTATACAGTGTCACATGCCAAAGCCTCCTTAGACCTCCTAAATGCCCACCTTGCCCCTCAGCTTCAGCATGCACCTCGCAGCACTGCAGGATCAGATGCGAGGACAACTGCAGGCTGCTGTGCTCTCTGTGCATTAACACCAGCCTGACCCCTGCTGCAGAAGGAAGGGAGTCAAAGCAATATCGCCTCCTGTGCCACTATGAGCAGTACAGTTTGAGTTCAGCCAGGTGAAGTATCCCATGCTGAAACGGTCCCCTGCAGAGATACATGAAAAACACAGCCTGGAGAGACTACAGGAATAGGGAGGGGCTCCAACCTGCTCTTGTTCCACAAACCAAGCAGAGGCTATGAGAGAGCTGTTTCCAGTCAAACCACCACTCTGAGCTGATAATGTGGACTGTGACAGAAAGAGAAAATCAGTTCCAGCTTGATTTCACTGAAGATTTTCCTTCTCACTCTCTACCACTACCTGAAAGGAGGTTGTAGCAAGGTGGGGGTCAGTCTCTTCTCCCAAGTAACAAGCGACAGAACAAGAGGAAATGGCCTCAAGTTGCGCCAAGGCAGGTTTAGGTTGGATATGAGGAAAAATTTCTTCACCAAAAGGGAAGTCAGGCACTGGAACACGCTGCCCAGGGGAGTGCTTGATGATCTTAAAGGTCTTTTCCAACCTAAATGATTCTATGATTTTATGATTTCAAAATAATGGCTCAGCTTTAGTTTCAGCTCAAGAAAACACACCAGAACAAGATCTTTGACCAAACCTTTGCTTTGAGTTTGGTATTTTCCAAGTAACAACAAATAAACTGAGGTTGTCCTACAGGAGATGTCCCCCTTGGGGTCACCTGCTGTTGTCCAGCTTTTCATTTTGAGCTGACTGACCGTCAGCGAGACCAGAGCTTTTCTTACGGCCGCTGCCATGCTGAGAGCAGGTCCCTGGGCAGCCTGCACCAGGGAAGGGGCTGAGTACGCCCCATTCCTCTTTCTGACTCTGCTAGGACTTGCTGAATGACCTTGGCCAAGCCCATAATTTGTTTTCTGGGTTAATAAGTACCTCATGGGAGCACTGGGAAGAATCATTAAAAACCATGTATGACCTGTGGAAGAAAGTGCTGTAGAGTGCCGAGCATTGGTTCATGTTTATAGACTTTGCAGCCCAAAGGACAGGCTGTCAAAGCTAACCCATCTTTAAACATCTGGCAGGTCTCAATTGGTGCTGATATACAAATGCAGGCAGTAGCCTGATGGGAAAGGAGCAGCTCATAGGTCTCATTTACATTTTGGTTTTGGGCAGCTTCTCCAATTAAGAGGGCATGAAAGGCAGATTTCTTGCAAAAAGTACCTAATAAGAGCTAAACCAGACTACAGGGAGCCTCTTGGGTGGTATTTCACATGGTCCCTTGCCTCAGCAGCCATGTGAAGGCCAAGTAACTGTGGTCCCCTCTCTCCTTGCCATTCAGTGGAGCAACCTGCAGCTGAGTCCCATGTTCGGTGGATCTGTAAATAGCTGGCACAAGCACATCTCTTCAGAAAGATGCTGTGATCAATCATGTCAAGTAATTCGCATTAGCATTAATCAATTCCAGCTCTTTACACTTTTTAGATGAGACAAGGGATCCCATCTTGTTTTTAAAAAGCAAATTACTGTCAGTGGGCAATATATTTAGATATTGATAGGAGAGAGGGAAAAGGCAGGGTACAGAAACTGGAGCGTAAGAGAAGATAAATACCTGTTGAGCAGGAATACTGGAGCACGGTGGTGAAGAAGAGCACAGCAAAGGCTGCCCAGCGTTCGACAGAGAAGTGCTTCATGCTGGGGGTCCAGCTCCCACCCCAGCGGCTGCGCAGATCAGGTCGCTTTTGCCAGCAGCTCTGGTTCAGCAAATCCTCGATAAGCTCAGAGCGTCGGTGCGCAGGGCAGAGGGTGGAGCAAAGGAGCTTCCTGCTGCCAGGACACCTTGAACTTTCCTGCCACAACAGGGTGAGGAAAGAGAAGGGCTCCAACCAAAACAGCTCCAGCAGGAGGTGGATACCAGTGCCGAGGCAGGTGGAGGGCCCCTGAAGGTCAAGCCTGAAGGTTTCTGCCCAGGATCTGCTGCAGCCGGAGGGAGGAAAGGCCTCCAGAGCCAGCCCTTCCCCACGGGGTCCCAGGCACCTTCTGTCTTCTGAGTCTCCTTTTGGTCCTGTGAAGATGGTCTAGCAGAGTTGGAAAGGAGCAGAGAGAGGATCAGGGTAGAGAATTTGCCTGTTTGGCTTTGATTTTGCATGTTTGTTGGCTTGACTGCCCCCCACCCCCGCAACTGCCCAGCAGTGATGATTTTTTTGGAAGGGCTGTGTGGAAGCCTAAAAAAAAAAGAAAAGAAAAAAAAAAGTCTTTTGTCACACTGATACAGTAGCCATTGGGTTAACACAGGCTATGGGCATGTTTCCACTGAGAAATGGGGTGAAACCAGTT